CTGTGTCCCTATAATTGTGAATCAAAGGATAAAAAGCACAGAGCTCATGTGAGATGTGGATGTAATTAGCAACAGTCGTTAAACAGCATCTGAAATCCAAGCAGTGGTGTAGTAAATGTTAATTGTGCCAAGGTTTGGTAAATCACTGATCAGCCACAACATTAAAACCACTGATAGGTGAAGCAGATACAATTATTTATAATGTTACAATGGCACTTATCAAGGGGTGTGACATATTAGGCAGCAAGTGAAAAGTCAGTTCTTAGATTTCATGTGTTGGTGGCAGGAAAAATGGGCAAGGGAAAAGATCTGAGTGACTTTAACAAGGGCCAAATAGTTATGGCTAAACTACTGGGTCAGAGCATGTCCAAAACGGCAAGTCTTGTTGGGTGTTCTCAGTATGCAGTGGTTAGTACTTACCACAAGTGGTTTAAGGAAGGAGAACCAGTAAACGGACATCAGGGTAATGGGCGCCCAAGGCTCATTGATGCATGTGGGGCGCAAAGGCTAGCCTGTCTAGTCCAATCACACAGAAGAGCTACAGTAGCTTAAACTAGTGAAAAACTTGCTGGCCATGATAGGTGCCAGGACACACAGTGCACCACACTATGCTGCTTATGGGGCTGCACAATTAAAGACCAGTCAGAGAGTCCATGGTGACCCCTGTCCATCACGAAAGCACCTTCAAGGAGAATGTGATTGTCAAAACTGGACCATGGAGCAATGGAAGAAGATTGTCTGGTATGAAGAATCGTGTTTTCTTTCAGAACAGGTGGCTGACCAAGTGCGTGGACGTCGTTTACCTGAGGAAGACATGATTGTGAAACAGGATTCACAATGGGAAGAAAGCTGGCCAGTGGAGGCAGTGTTATACACTGGAAATGTTCTGTAGGTAAACCTTGGGTCCTGGCATTCATGTGGATGTTACTTTGAAATATACCAACTACCTAGAGATTGTTGCAGACCATGCACTCCCCTTCATGGCAATGGTGTTCCCTGATGGCAGTGGCATCTTTCAGCAGGATAATGCACTCTGCCACACAACAAGAATTGTTAAGGAATGGTTTGTGGAACATGGCAAAGAGTTCAAGGAGTTTCCTTGCACCCCAATTCCCCAGATCTCAATACAATTGATCATTTATATTGAGTGGAAAAACAAATCCCATCCATGAAGGCTCTACCTCGCAACGTTCAGAACATAAATGATCTGCTGCTGATGTATTGGTGCCAGATAACACAGGACACGTTCAGAGAACTTGTGGAGTCCATGACTTGACGCATCAGAGTTGTTTTGGCAGGACAAGTGGGACCTACATAATATTAGGCAGGTGGTTTTAATGTTGTGAATAATCGGGGTATGCTCCAAGGGAGAGATTGGTAATGTGGATCATCTGGAATCATGGATGATTCTCTTTTTCTTACTTTGAGAAGTTATTTTTGTAAATTATATTTCCAGTTAGTGAGGATGAGAGATTTGTGGCATTTTAAGTGTATATTGAGTGAACTTTCATGTTTTCAGTGGGGTGGAGTTAGGGTGCAGTAAGAGTGCCTCCAGTATCTAGGCAATAGAGTTTGTACTAACAGAGTAAAACTATCTCCAAAACAGTTGGGTTTTGAACATGTATAAGGGTGTCTGCTGCTCTTGTGCAAGATCAGTAAAACAGATTAATTTAAGGAAATGCTTTGTGCTACAATGATGGCAGACAATTTTTTGAGCTTAGAGGAATGCTGTTTTGGTAAACTTTTAAAATGATTGGGGGCATTAGGAAAGGGAGAGTCTGTAGAAGGCAGGTGTTGGAGGACATTCATTGTAGCTGAATATCTGTTTTCAATAGGTATGGGTAGGCGATAACATTAGAGACATGCAGGTCCCAACAGTTTGAATTTATCTAGACACACACATGCCTCAAACTTAGCAAGACATTGTTAGTAACAATTCAATGATAGTAATAAAGTGAGAATATGCTATTAAATACCATGCAGAGTCTATGTAAATATCATTGATCAAATCAGTGTCTTGATAACAATATTAAGAGAATAACAAAGTGGGGTAAATTCCTACTTAGGGAAGAGGTTGCTACTAGTGGATCTGGGATTACAATGTCAATCTGGGGAAAATGGGGCAAGGGTGGGAGCAGGGAAAAAGAAAGAGGAGTAAGAAAAAAAAGAGAGGGGGCAAATGAGGAGGAAAGGTGGTGAGAAGTTTCAGTGTTGTTCCTGGAGATGTGGTGTCTGGCAACCCAGGATTCATGGTGTGCAGTGGCCTCAGTGTGAGTATTTGTCATGCCAAAAGCATGAGTTGGTGTTGGATGTGTGTTGAGATATGTTAAGAGTTGTTTTTTTTTGTGTAAACCTTGCGATTATATTTATTGTGGTCTTTGATCTTGCACCAGACTTAGACCATAAAACAGTAAAGCCATCACCAGAGCTGGACACAAGGAATTGCATAGAGTGGGCAATAAACTGCCAGACCAAACTCCTCTGATTTCCCCCAGGGGTCTGCCCACTGAGAAACAACTAGTTTAAATATATAATGAGGGTGCTGGACTATCCAGGGAGCTCAGTTATTCATTTTTTCTTTGGTCAGCAACTTCTAAGAGACCTATACCATCTAAGACTCCCACAAGAATTCTATATGGGGTAACTACATGTAAGGAATTTCTTGTGTTTTCTCCTATTTTATTTTATATCTTTTTTGTCAGATTAAATGTTTACTTAATCAGCTTGTGTCTCTGTTCTCTATGAGCTTCACTGTCCAGAGGAAAGCTCAGGTAAACACGTTACCAAAAAGGGTTAATTATATGTGTTTGATCAGTAAAAGTAGAACTGTGATTTTATAATTCTCCTGTGTGTGGGGTAACCTAAGACGTCCGGGTTTAAGAGTCTTGGTGGTGGCAGTAAAGTGTGTACTAGGGGGTTAGTGTAGAAGGGATTGCAGGGGTTAATTGAGTGGTTGCTGGGACTAGTAACAGGAAACCAGGGGTCTGGTGTCATTAACCCTGTCACTTCCACACTCTCCCCACTGTCTCGGCTGGGCCTAAAGCCCACGCACGTGACAGTATTGTTGAAAATCAGTGGTGTTGGACTGCATGATCCATTGTGTCCACATGTCAGCGTATGTTTGTGAGCCATCTTGCGATGCATACCACAGCAGCCTCAACTCCTCCATCTTTGAGTATCACAATGATAGTGCAGGCTTTGTTGTCTGCTGCCAGAGGCATAGGATTATTTGTTTTGCTATATCTAGAATGCCATTACCACATGGCATTTCCCGCCTATATGTTCTTTTAAAATGGCAGCAAAGCCCACCGCCCCATTTTCAATCTAAATGGGAACAGGCAAAAGGGGAAACTTTCACTGCTAACCAGTGGCAGAAGATGTGCAATCTAGTGCACCATTGTGTGAAAGCAACTAAGGTACAAGAGACAGCTTATAAAGTCCTAATGATGTTGTACATGACCCCTGACCACTTACAAACAATAAACCTGTGTTGGATGGCACATGCTGTAGATGCAGTGACTCCATGACTAGTGGGAATGCAGCAGCGTGCCGCCTTTCTGGAGGAAAATTGCCTCTATGATTCAAAAATCCTCTGATAAGCTATCACTGTTTCGGCCGAACCCTTTTCCCCTTCATTACACAACATCTCAGTCATCCAAATACCAAAAATCCATGACAATCAGCATTCTAAATCTAGCAAAACAAATAAACTCATGACTCTGGCAGCAGACAACAAAGCCTTCATATTATTGTGGTAGTGAAAGATGGAGGATTTGAGGTTGCTGGAGGAACTGGTATGCCTCGCAAAGTCACTCACAAACTTACGCCGACATCTGGACACAATGGATTGTACAGTCCAACACCACTGATTTAAAAAAAAAAAATGCTTATTTGGTAGTTGCTCCTGTCCTCCAGCTGCTGTTCTCTGCTTTTTGTGTCCACTCATTTTAAGACATGTGCCCCATAATCGGTATATTATAAGAAAGTAAGAGGGGATCAAAGTTTCTATGCAGCCATTTGCTTCAGTGATGAGAGCTACAGAAAATTGCAAATTTTATTAAAAATAACTGAATTTGGAAAAAGTCTTCAGTTAAAACAGCATGCTGAACTTACCTTTCCCCAATCGCTTCCTCTTCTCTCCCTTTCTTTAAAACATAAGACAAAGTAGGGATTACTTTGTCTTATGTATTTTTCCTACGCTTGACCAGCTTTGACCTAATTCCTGTGGGTCAGAGAAATTTTACCACAATACTCACCCTTTCCTCCATGATCTTGCGATGCCTCTTTGACTATTCCCAAACGTCCTGTTATTTAGACAGGACGCCGGCGAAACTACCGAATTTTGCCCTAACAGAATGAGAACAGTATGTTCATTCATGTTAGGACGACATTCTGTACTTTTAGTTCAGTTCGAAATTTCATTTGACTGAATGAAATTCCGATTCGATCTGTACTGCGGCTGCATCTTGCAACTGCTTAGTATATAGATAGATTTCAACTCCTTTATGTTAATATGGCGGGTCATATTGATAGGGATTAGGGGCATTTGGGGGTAACAAGGGGGGCAATTAGATAAAGTGGAGTCAGGAGGGGGGGGGGTTAAAAAAAACGGATGTGGCCATGACAGTGCCCCTTTAAGCTGTGTTCAACTAAGCTTCAAACTTCCTAGGTCAATTCCCACTTCTGTGAATCTGTGTAATTTTGCAACAAACTATATACATCTACATAACTGAAAAAGATAAGGTAAGATAAAAAAAAAAGTGTGCTTGATTTATTTTTTCAAGAAACTTGTTGATGCTGATGCAGAACAAAAAAAAAAATGTTTTATATCTGTTTGCAGTTGTAGAATTTTACAATATCATTAACTATATAAAAAAAAATGTCTTTACTAACTTAACCAATGCTTTTTTTCCATGCACGTGTACAACACATTCAAATATCTTTATATCTATGGTCAAGTGCGGAAATACAAATAAAACCAATGGGTTTCTTCTTGGATTTACAAATAGTATATTTATGTCTATAGCGCCTCCATGCTGTGTATCACTCATGTGAAGCCATTTGTACCATAATGTTTGAATTAGTCAGTCTGAAGAGTAACTGTGTGGGGGGTTCATTTTTCATTCCCAACATAGAATGCTTGTCTGTCAATCCCTGTTTCGGTGTCTAATGATGTGTGTCAGTTTTTCTTGCTTTCTATTTTCATGTCTGTCTGTCTGTCTGTCTTTCTCCCTCCTCTCTCAGCACCTTGCAGCATTGCACAGCAAGTCGAGCAGTCTCTGTAGCTATTATTGGGTGTTTCCATGGATACAGCTATGAATCAGGTGGGGGAGCGCCATTATTATTCAGGGCAGGGAGGAAAACTGACAGATGTAAGAGGACCAGTCAGAGACAAGTGTGAGCTCTTCAGTCGAGGATATTAACCACTTTTGTTATTCTTATTTGTGCTGAAAGACATAATGTGTTAAATCATCATTAATTAATAACCTGGTATGTAAGAAACTGTACGTAAATGCTGGGAACATTTTCTAACTGATTCTCTAAACAGTAGCATAAAAATAGTTTTATATAAATATTCAGTACTATTTATGCACTAAGAATCATGCATAGGCAGCTTGATATTCACCCTTTATTCCAACTAGAAATCGATCTGTATTAAGGCACATCCACATATAATCCCATAAGAAATCCATCTGTATACATACACATCCAGCTGTAAACCCATCTGTATGCATCCACAAATAGATTCACAAATAGATGGATCTATATGCATCCACAAATAGATTAATCTGGAAATCCATCTGTAAAGATACCCATCTACATACACACACACACACACAGCCAGATATCATCTGTAAAAATATTGATCAACATATATATTATCTACATATATGCCCACCCATCAAAATATCTGCATAGATACAAATCCACATACATATAAATTAACAGCTACATATTATCTGTATGTATACTCAGCTAATGATCGATCTTCCTAGCTACCTATCCACCTATCGAACTAGCTAGATAATGGTTTACATATAAAACACATTTAGGGTTATTACCTACAATAAGAACTAACAGGATTTCAAAGTGAATTTCAAATGTAAAGCCAAGTAGCCAAATGGATAAAATTATTTACTTGGAAATTTTTTTCTAAATTGGCTAAATTGTGAAATTCACTTAGAATTTCTGGCAATTTTCATGACAGGCGCACAGTCGGATTTGCCGGCATATGCGCTAACCTTACCCCAACCCCCATTAAAACACGGACACAGGTTATACTGTTGGAAATAATTTGTCCACAGCTTTATTAAATTATTAATAAATAATTAAGGAATAACAAATGGGGTCATTGCCAACAAATCTTAATAATGTTAACCTCCCCCATATACATAACATACCCCTAGCAATGACCCCACAATAATAACAATAGATAACAATATAAATAACATGTTAACACAGAAACTGGCCGTCCAATTTGACCACATTTCCACCAGGTTAAATTGTAGGGGTGTACCGAGACACCGCTACCCTCCATATCCATTGTAGGGGTGTACCAAGACACCGCTACCCACCATATCCATTGTAGGGGTGTACCAAGACACCGCTACCCACCAGTTCCAGTGTAGGGTGTACCAAGACACCACCACACCCCCAGGTTCGGAGCCACCGACGGGCTCGAACCTACCAACCACGTGCAACACTGCCCAATCCACACTAAACCTCAGGATGCCCACTTTCTCCTCCATCTACCCTCCGATTTAACCAGGCCATTCCCCGCCGCTGTGAAAAAACGGGAAATCAACTAACCTAACCAAATACAGGGAGGGTGGGAGGGACAACTGACAGGTAAGCTTAGGTTCAGTTAAAATGGCCACTTCACATAATGGCTGGTATAAATACTCCCCTTATGGCTCCGCCCTACCCAGCATGCTAGCTGTCACTAAATTCCTGTGGCTGCTATGCCTACCTCCTGGCTCTGTCAAGGCCTATTCCTCTTAGCTGCGCTGATCCATGGGCTACATGACAGGCGCACAGTCGGATTTGCCGGCATATGCGCTAACCTTACCCCAACCCACATTAAAACACGGACACAGGTTATACTGTTGGAAATAATTTGTCCACAGCTTTATTAAATTATTAATAAATAATTAAGGAATAACAAATGGGGTCATTGCCAACAAATCTTAATAATGTTAACCTCCCCCATATACATAACATACCCCTAGCAATGACCCCACAATAATAACAATAGATAACAATATAAATAACATGTTAACACAGAAACTGGCCGTCCAATTTGACCACATTTCCACCAGGTTAAATTGTAGGGGTGTACCGAGACACCGCTACCCACCATATCCATTGTAGGGGTGTACCAAGACACCGCTACCCACCATATCCATTGTAGGGGTGTACCAAGACACCGCTACCCACCAGTTCCAGTGTAGGGTGTACCAAGACACCACCACACCCCCAGGTTCGGAGCCACCGACGGGCTCGAACCTACCAACCACGTGCAACACTGCCCAATCCACACTAAACCTCAGGATGCCCACTTTCTCCTCCATCTACCCTCCGATTTAACCAGGCCATTCCCCGCCACAGCTCAGGACTTGACACCTAAAGCTCCTGAGCGACCCCCACCACACCGGAATAAGGCCTGTTGAATGCCTTCCTGAAGGCCCAATTTAAACAGATCACACCTTACATCCGAAAATGTACCCCATCCCACCTGGAGTACCCAGGGAGCTTTCTTCCCAATTCGTTGTGTCTCACTGTTACACCGCCCCCACCTCTGATAAATACTGCCATCAATTTTTTATTAAGTCGTCCTCGACACCGAGCTACCACGGCCGGGTACGTAGTATGTCTCCAATGTAACCAAGGAACCATCTCGGACCGCACCACCACCACACCCGTGGCCAGCTCCCATAGCTGGTCCACCTCCCTCTGCCTCCACCTGATCAATTCCTTTTCCGGGACCATGCCAATATCCAGAATGTCCTGGAAAGTACCCTTTGTTACCTCCCGGAAAAATTTCTCCCCTAATGTCTTGCCACCAAAATCCCTGAAAAACAAAACCACTCCTGCTCCACCAATTTCAAAGGAAAGCCCAGTTACGTTTGAACTGAAACGCGGCTCCCATCTGTGCCCCTTAGATATAAGAATGACCCACCAACCATGTCACCAAACCTGAAACGAAAGTAATTAGCGACACGGCATAGCCCCAAACACAAACCCATACGTCCATAGCCATTAAACCAAATAGACTGGCCTGAAACAGGACTTAAACCGTACTGACTCCCACCTGCCTAAACGTTTCCCTAGGTCCTCACTTAAAACCAGGTGGGGTGCCTCTGTTACCGCCATCACCTGGGAAGAATGGGTCCCAAAGTGCCCGGGATCCAAACCCAACATTGTCAAACACCACCTGCGGGAATTGAATCGTGACAGCACCGATCTGTCCCCTTTTACCAGTAAGCCACCCGGGATGTCCGGGCAAAGCTCCAAGTAGCATGATGCGCTTAACACCGGGCGTACCCCTGACCCCGGCAGGGAATATAGCTTTACCAAACCTCCTTTACCAGACACATTCGTTCTTGAACAACCCTACTGAATCGTTACCTTAACCGACTAAGGTTCGACAACCAAGTGTAGAACTCCCCAACACCTGCCCGAAGGCACTCACCAGTTCCCCAATCCAAATTGCCCCAAGCCTCCGAAAAGGCCACCGCAAGCAAACTCACTGCAAAAGTAGGGTAATACACCACCAGGCGTTGCGTTACCCAAGGAAACCCGCCACCGACATATTTCATATCTCTCCGTAAGACCCGCGATGCCTGACGGACGTGACAACGTTCCGTCACTTCCTCCCAATCAGTCAGTTTAAACCCTAACGACAATGCCACCATGCTCCTGTCCATTGCTGATGGAGCTAACGCTGAACAAACAAACAGCTTAGGAACCACCGCAAGGTATCCCTTCGCCCCTCCTTTGACTGGGCCCCCACAGTGAAACCAACCGCCTTGTCCCACATATCTCAAACGTTCACATAGGCAGTCCCTCTGCCCGGTGCCATAGGATTCTGTATCGATCCTCCAAGCATGGCGTCTCGAAGCGTCCGTAAACAGCCCCACTGCTTCCGAAGACACCACTTGCTCCCGAAAAAAGGCCTTGCCATTGAAGTCCCTCAAAAAACGATCCCACACCTCTAAGTCCGCCCTCATGTCCGCGGAAACCCTGATATAGTGTGACGGCATCCGTATCCCGCTCGTCGCCCGCGCCAATCGTCTACAGAAAACCCTCCCCATGGGTATGACCCTGCACGCAAAGTTCAGGCTCCCTACCAGAGACTGTAATCCCCTCAGCGTCACCTTCCGTGCTCTCCCAATTGTGTGCACCAAGTCTTTCAGCTTGCGCAACTTGTCCTGTGGTAATCTACATTCCCCGATCTCCGAATCGATCTCCAAACCCAGAAAACTAAGACACGTGGCGGGTCCCACGGTCTTGTCCTCCGCCAAAGGAACCCCCATCGTCTGCGCTACCCATTGGAACACCCGTAGTATCTGCTTGCACCGGTCTGAGCCTCGAGGGCCGACACATAAGAAGTCGTCCAGGTAATGCACAACTGTGCCCCCCTCCGATTCCCGTCGCACTACCCATTCCAGAAAAGTGCTAAACTTCTCGAAATAGGCGTACGAGATGGAACAACCCATCGGCAAGCACAGATCCACAAAGAAGCCCCCTTCAAAACAACACCCCAAGAGGTGATGACATGACGGGTGTATGGGAAGCAGCCGAAACGCTGCCTCCACGTCCACCTTCGCCATCAGCGCTCCCCGCCCAGCTCTCCGTACCAACTCGACTGCCCTGTCAAATGATGTGTAAGATACTGAACAGAGTGCTGCGTCGATGTCATCATTCACCGATGACCCTTTAGGATACGATAAATGATGAATCAACCTAAACTTGCCAGCCTCTTTTTTGGGGACCACTCCAAGTGGGGATATCCGCAACTCCGCTATAGGAGGATACGGGAACGGCCCCGCCATCCTCCCCAAAAGGACCTCTTTGGCCAGCTTTTCCCGCACTACCTCCGGGCGTTCCCGCACCGATTTAAGATTGGCACAAACCGCCCCTGGTTCCTTAACCGTGAAGGGGATCACGAAGCCCTCCCTAAAACCCCGCCACAGGAACGCTGCATCCTCCTGGTTAGCGTATTGCCTTAGCCAAGGCAACATCGCGCCTAACCTCACTGGGGACGCCCCCAGTTGCAGCCGAGGTGGCCGCCACCCCTGCGGTTCCACCCCCTGCATTGAGCTTACCTTTCTTGAAGCATCTGTTGGCGCCGTGATTCCCTCCGCAGCCCGAACACTCGTGCCTAAATCGGCATGAAGTACCCCACTTGCATTGACCCTCGTTGTACGTCCAGCACAGGCCCTTCTTTT